TGTGTGTGTGTATATATATATATATATATATATATATATACACACACAGTATGTATGTATATGTATATATACACACACACACACACACACACACACACAAAGAGTAAGAGAAAGGCTAAGAAGTCATTATGGAAACAAAATCCAACTGCTGATTATCAAAGGCAAGCTCTATTGATAATAATCAGTGTTCTTATTTCTTGCATCTTTTTCTTCTATCCATTCTGCGTAAAGAGCTAGAAGCAATTATTTTCTATGTGTAGGACAGAGTTGCCCTCTATTCCTTGTTTTGATAATGGACTGACATAGTGTGAGAGCTGTGTGAAGAATAGCTTTCACAGATACAGCTGCAAACGTAACAACCCAAACATGATAAGTATGATGTTCCAGAATTATTTTTCACATTTCTGTATTAATTAAAATATATTTTACCTCAGCCTTGATCTACCAAAATCACTTGTCATGTTTTATATTTGAGATCTCACTACCACTAGCCAAGACACAGCCTTGGTGGATGGCAGCCTTTTCTGGGTATGGTAGCAAAATAAGCTTAGGCCCAGTTGTTGCTCAGATGGAAGACTACCAGGGAATTCCAGAATTGTAGGCTAAACAGGGAAATTGAAAAATATACTGGCAAAAGAGAAGAAATTGCATTCTGCTACATGGTTGTTGCCCTGCTTTCATCGGAGGTTGAGATGAACTTGAGACCATCTTTTCCTGTCATGGTAGGACATACAAGTTCTTCTGTTTGGTACTTGTAGCTGCCCTTCCGTCTGGGTTCAGTCTTACTAATATCTAACTTCAGTCTTCAACTTTTGATTTGTATTTGTTGTATCTTTCAAATGTTTTATTAAAAGAGAAATACTCAAATTGGGATAACACTAAAGAAAACTTCTGAGCTTGAAATGTCAACATTTTCAAATTTAAAGTCTCACTTATTTGAGGAAAACATTATTCCTGGATTGAAAAAGTGGTTTGTTTGCTCTTCTAGTATAAATCCAACATATAAATATGGAGAGAAGAATCTTTTTATCATTGTAGCTTTATATCCTATTCAAGTATTCCTGTAAAATTAGATCAGTATGAGGCAAATTTGCCTTGCCTCAATTAGGTGTTTTGAGCTGATCCTCACTGGGGCCAAAAGGCCACCCAATTCTTCATTTTGTCCCAAAGTCTCAACCAAGGAAGATCTTTGCCCTGAGCAACCCTCACCTTGGGCTTAGATGTGAGAAGGCAGTGTTGGCTTGTAAAGCTGTTTCAGGAAAACAAGGCACTTGAAATGCCTCTTTGAAGATGTCCACAACTCTTTTCAACATATTATATCTAAAATACATTTCATAGCACAGGAGATAGCAAAGCAGTGGTGTTCCTCCTCTTAATCTTTTTTGATGCTACATCTTTACATCATACATGCTGATCCCAAGAATCTGAACTGATTTTCAATCATCTTGGCAATATCCCTAAATAGTAGATTATTTCCCAATTAAATATATTACAGTGGAATTTTAATCTAAATTCCATCTCAGCAGAATTTTCATTGTTATAACATTGAACTGTAATCTTCAAAAATTGTTTTCAATATGTAATAAGATTGGGTCTTTAATCTCTCATTTCTATAAATTGGTTTTGCAATTTCTAAAAAATAATTTTGGGGGGCTTAAAGTATCAAGACAGGCCAGTTGTTACAGATGAAGATAGATAGATAGATAGATAGATAGATAGATAGATAGATAGATAGATAGATAGATAGATAGATAGATAGATGATAGAGGAATAACTTAATTTTTTCCAAAAATGTGTATAGTGCTATTCGTAAATGGTGCTTGGCCTTCAAGAAATAAGATGTTCTGTCTTGAGAGCTTGCGTTTTAATCCAGAGCTGATAGGGTATGGCAGGCTCTTTGGCAAGGAGAAGGATGCACTTTAAGCATCCATTATTGTGGCCATTTTTATATCAGTATTCAGCCTAAACGCTGACAGCAGTTTCTAGGTCTGAAAAGTGATGAGTCCCAAGCAGGATACCATTTGCACAATGACAAGAAGGAACACACAAGGCAAGTACCAGAATAGAAAGGAGCCTAATTTCATTGATTAGTCAAAAGATCCACAGCAAATAAATCCTATTCAACTAACCAACTCATGAGCGTGAGTACCTGTCCCACCTTCCTTATAATGACAAAGGGTCACTCTTCCTGCTCACAGTTATGGAGAGGGTACAATTCCTCTCTAGGCTCTTGGCAGCCATTCTGTGCCTGATGAAACCAAGTGGAGTCACGGCTGCTCTTAGGTCAATTAGACCTGAGTGGACAGAGCAGGCAAATGCCACTGGCTTTCCATTTTGGTCACTGTAAGCCTGCAGATTAAATATGGGAGGCCACTTGGGGCTGGTCTAACATCTGCTTTCTTGCCCTCAATACACACTTCACAGTCAAATGTCCAAGTTGAACACATGCCGAGTGCTAACAAAGTTAAAGCCTGGGGGCGGGGGGGAGGGAATCACAATAGGAATTGCCATGATGACACCCACACCCTAGTGATCCATTTTGCACCCAGAGTTCCTGAAAATCACATCCTTCCAATTTTGTTGCAAAATCGAGCCAGCTTCTTACAATGGAAAGACCATCCTGCATACAACAGCTGCTTTCATGGGAATCTAGAGATGGAATGGATCATCCAAGAAAATTTGCTGATCGTACCTGGTTCTTGGATGTTCTGCCCAAAAAGGCTTATGAATTTTCACTTATAGAAAAACGTGTGGATCATTTGAATGTACAGACAAGCCCTGAGATTCCGATTAAGCCTTTCCTTCCTTCAAAAATTCCTCAGTGAGTCATATAAACAGGAGCCTCTAAACCAGACTTCTCTAACATAGTACCTTCCAGGTATGTTGTACCATTCAGATATCCAGTCTCTCTGGAAGGCATCAGACTGGGGAAGGCTTTCAGCATACCATCACCAATTTCTGGTTGCACAAATGATGCTATAAGGTGACTAGGGTGATTTCCCCATCCCACCACAGCCAGAAACATAGCTTCTCAGTCAATAAGGGAGACCGGCATCAACAGAGAATCTTCTGATATTGTCCTCACCTGCTTCAAATGCCATCTCCACACATCAGTTTTGCAAGCTTCCTGATCACAGGCCTATCAATAATTCAGGGCCCATCAGCAATACTCCAAAGGGCAGGCTCTTACCCTGCACTTTGGTGCAGTCAGCAAGTGATCTGCCGTGCAGAGATTCTCCATTTCAAATCCCAGGGCAGCAGGCCAAGTCTAGCTAGTATTGCATTTTCAATTAGCTTCTGAGTGAACGCTTGGCATCTGCGGAAGAGAATCTGTACACAATTAGCCTCTTGTTCCTTTCAGCTTGGTGCTGAGTGGATCATCTGGAGAACTGGAGGAGGAAGAACCGCAGCTCTGAGCAGGGACATTGCTGTGGATGTAGAAGGAAGAAGGAGATTTTGCAGTTCAGGCAGTTTCTGCTCTCTCTATCTCAGGAATTATTGTGACTGTTACAGAGCACTGGGCTTCAGGGAGTTTGCCAGGAGACAAGCAGAAAAGGAAACTTCTTGTCTCTCCTTTCAGCAGGCCAGGTCTTTCCCCCCACACTTCTCCTATTCCTAAATACTGCTATGGAGCCAAACAGTCCTAAAAAGATACAATTCGCTGTACCATTATTTCAAAGTCAAATAGATTCTGAAGCAGCTGAACAGGTAAGCTGGTTTTATCTTCACTGCCTATGGAAGAGGATAAAGTTTTCTAAGGGCACCATATTTCCAAATCTAGAAACTGGAGTGCAACTTTGCAGAAGTGACGGAATTCCATAAGAATTCTTTGTCATTGAAAGAGAGAAAGAAGAGGGGGGAGATTTGTCCTTTGGATACTCTAGGTGACTTTTTTTTCTTTTCTTTCTGAGCAAACCTCTGCTTTCCTTCTTCTCTAAGAAGAAAAGCATTCCAATAGTGAGCTTGAGAATTTTGTATATAAAAATTGTTGACAATGTTTAATGCTAGCAGATTGATTGCTAGGTAAGAAGGTAGTTTAGTTGAAAGGCTATAAATGACAAATGGATGGAAGGAACTGTAGCATCTTCAAATGGAGAAAAGACATCAAGAAAAGGATTTTATTTCTAAATATTCAATATTTTTAAGGAAATTTCTGAGCAGTCAAATTTATAGCCTAAATTTATGTTATTATAATATATCATCAAAACAATACACTAATATCAGCATCATATAATCAGAACGTTAAGAATGAATTGATATAGGTTGAAGCCATTTTCTGTTTGGCTCTTTGAAATGGTGTGTTCCCATCACTGACTGTGCATGGTTAAACCTGCAGAACAGGATGTTTCTCAGAAGAGATTCCCACTCTTAGAGTTCAGTTTTGATGCTCCGAATGGACAAACGTGGCTGCTGTTATGCACTTTTGACTCCTCTGAGTCCCACTGAACTGAATCAAATTTATATCTGAGAAGGTATGAGTAGGATTGCACTGTTAGTGTTATAGCTGAGATGCCCACTATGAACAGAACTTTCACCAGAAGAAAAAAATAGGCTGTTGATGGCAGCCCCACGGAATAGACCAAGCCTGAGCAGAATGAGATATCCTTATGCAGAAAACGTTTTAGATGCTATGCTATGACCCAAGATGAACTCTCATCCATCTCAAATAGATAAATATACTTTCTGAGTGACAAGTGCATGGTTTTGAGGATACCAATTTTTTAAATCATCTTCCTGTATGTGGACATAGAAACTCCTAGAATTAAGGTCATATGCTTCTTCCTTGACTTGGTGCCCTCTAGAATTGCTAGGGATTATCTCTCCAAATAATCAGCTGGTGAGAGGTTTTCTAGGAATGTTGGGAGCTGGACTCATGCTAGATCTGGAGTCAGTAAGCTGAGGAAGGCTGTATTTTTCCCGTTTAATGCTGCGTGGTATAAAACATCCACAGCATGATCAGGATAGATGCTGTGTAATGGATGATTCTTGACCAACTCGTAGTCTTTCTCCAGCAGCATATATACTAAGGATCAAAGTATTGGTTTTTGTGCGGATATAACATTATGCTTCTTGGCCATTAAGGTGACATGAGAGTGACTTTCAAACCAGCCAGAGGTTTACAATAAATTAATGCAACTGTGATTTTTTCCCTGCTTTCAACTGTTGATTTCTGTAGCCTCAACCACATGGCTTTTGAAATGACTTTCCATTACAAAAGCAATTTGTGGTGTGCTACAAGGGGCAAATGCATATCCCTATAGTGTCTTCTGACATCAGAAAAATGATTTGGGCCCACTTTATGACCACATCTCACTGGTAGTGTAAGAGCTAGGAGGCCAACCAATGTGACAAAATGAATTCTAAGTTTTTTGAAAAAGAAGGTCTCCAGATCAAAGTCTTCCCAGTATTTTCAGTCAGAGTAGGCAACGGAGTCCAAGTGGAATTTAAAAGCCCACTGCAAAATTGTCTGGGATGGGAATGTTCTGGGATATAGATAAAGTGCCATTTGGGATGAAAGCCACACAAAAATCCAGGCTTTCATACTCCTTCCACAGCCCTTGACACATACCCCAGCAGTCCTGATTAACCTTGGCTTTTGTGGTCTTATTGAATTTGAAAACCAGCAAAATGTGGCAAACTAAAAAGACATAAAGGAAGAAATGATCTACTAGTAATACTAGCAGGACAAGTTCATGCTAACTTGCTGTGTTTTGTTCTTGACACAGAAAACATGACCAGCTTGTAAAATTGTTCCGGTTTTGAGTGTTGTTAAAGAAAGCCAATGATTTAAATACTTAGGGTGTATTTGTATTAGTTTAGTTACTTGTCATTGACTGTGAATTTAGATATATAGCTGCTTGTATCTATATTTGATATCTATATCTGCCTATACCTATAATTTCTGCAGATCAGGAAAAGAAGGCCCACCCCAGCATCATTAGTAATTATGAATGATTCGTCTCCTGGTAAGTCCACTCTATGGCTTTCTAAGTGCTTGATGAGATTAAAAAAAATATTAAAGGGAAAGAACTAGAATAGATGTAAAATGGTGGCACGATGTAGTTGCCAGAAAGGAACATCTACACCCGCTTGTGCTTCTCCACCTTGTGGATATCGGAAAGAAATAATTTCTTGTAGATATCAGAAGAAAATAATTTCTCAGCCTAACCCTACAGATGTTTTTTCACTAGCCAGGTTTGTATAGTGGTTAAGGTGCTGGACAAGGAGTGGGGAGACCCAGGTTCTAGGGCCACCTTAGGCATGGAAGCCAGCTGGGTGACTTGGGCCAGCCACTCTTTTTCAACCCTATGAAGAAGGCAGTGGCAAACTACTTCTGAAATCTTGCCAAGAAAACTGCAGGAACCACTTCTGTATGGTTGCAGGAATCAAGACTGACTTGAAGGCACCAGACAAAAACCAAACCCCACAGATTTGTCAGATTGGGATCAAAGCTACCCAGAAAATCAAGTGTGGTCCTTAAGGGTTAGGAGAAGGTCCTTTTCAAGGTTTTATTATCCATTATTTTGTTTAATTTAATTCATGAGTCCATTCCTTTCCACAATGAATGTTATAAAAATTCTCTTACAATGTTCATAATGGTTACCCCCCCCCAAAAAAAAATCAATAGGTAAGAAAAGAAGAAAAGAAAGTGAGCCCAAATAAGGGAAATAGTATACAGGATGTACCAAAAGTCAGGCCCGAGAGGCCAATCACAATTTTTTTTTCCAGAGATAATGTTACTGTACTTAGGAATGTTCAAAGATCACACGTCAAACGAGTAAGGAAGTATTTAGAGGAAAATGGTAACGAATTTGAACCTTTAATGTAATTTATATAATAAATTGTCTCTGGGGCCTGACTTTTGGTATACCCTGTATATAAAAGAACTGATAGCACAAACTGCAATATTGAAAAACCAATGGAAGAACAGGATATTTCCTCAGGATGCATTTTTAGAAACTTCAGGGTGGCCGCTCTTGAGAAAAGAAATCACAAAGAGCAAAACAATTGAACTAGAATTAATCAGGGGACCTAAGACTTTCTTTTTACATTCCAGTCAGACTACATACGTTAACTAGTTTATCAGTAAAGAATGCCTCTATTAATTACTGTTTTGCTAATGGTCACAATTTAAAGATACTTCTGTCTCTTGCCTTTCAGACTTTTTTTATCCCACCTTTATTATTTTTATAAATAATTCAAAGTGACAAACAAACCTAGTATTCCTTCCTCCTCCTATTTTCCCCACAACAATAACCCTGTGAGGTGAGTTGGGCTGAGAGAGAGTGACTGGCCCAAAGTCACCCAGCCGGCTTTCATGCCTCAGGCGGGACTCGAACTCACAGTGACCTTTCCTTTCGCCATTTGCCATTCTCCATTTCTGCTTTTCCATTCCCACCCTCACCCCCAACTACTCTCTCTACAAACCCTAACCCTTTCTCAGCACTGTACTATGTGTATCTAATGACGTGGACTGGGATCCACAAAAGCTTTTGCCAGAGATTAGTAAACTTTTCAGGCTTCAGGCAGAATCCTACAATTTTACACATAATGCAGATGCACAAAAATGAATGAAAATAAAACATTTTTTAAAAGTCGCTGACACCCCTTGAGAATGCCAAAGGGCACATGCTTTTGACAGTCACGCTTGAGACTGAATGGACTTCCTTGACTGGGTGTTAAGTTACCAATGTTGTGATTTACTCCATGCTTTCAGGACACTAAGTAAGCAATCGTTAGATGCCATGTCTTCTCGATTACTGTTCCAACTCTTCCCCTTGATGAGGATTGCAGAGATTCTTCCCCAAGTTTTCAGAGAGAATCTACCTCTTGAATCAAATCTTTGGCTGAGCTGCCCTGTTTTTCCAAATCTGTTAAACCTCTAATGTCTGCACTGTTATTCTGTACCAGGAGGGTGTCTGCATATTGCCTGCATCCCTAAATCCATTTCTGTGCCCCCTGGCACTCCCCTTGATCATAGTGCCAGAATTTA